CGGTTTTTATTAAGTTATTGAATGAATTTGAGGGTGTGTGTGTATAAATGCAATGCCAATTTAATCAGGACTTTAATTCAGAGATTTTTGGGAGAGGAGGTTATGAAGTAAGCGGGAAGGGGAGAGATCGACCTGCAGGCCCGTAAGGTACATGTTAAACCTTGTGTCATTAATGAAAATAATAATGTAGTTAGCTATATTAATTAGTTAATGTTATTAAATTTTATTAATGTTAGGAAGTGAGAAAGTAGGCCGACTAGTCCCTTGGATTTGAGGAAGAAGACAAAAAATTTTACAAGGTATGTCTTAAATTAATGTTTAGTTTACTTAATTAGGAATTGATATTAATAAAATATTAATGTCTAGATGCAATTTAGGTTGAAAATCTGGGGCTCGGGAGTCAGTGTAGCAAGCAAGCTCAGTAAAATGAGTAATTATTTTTTTATATGTATTAAATTTAAAGTTTATTAAATAAAGAATTTCTTTAAAGCTTTAGAAATTTATTTTATGTTGTTATGCATGTTGTAGCTTTTGAATAAAAGGAAATGAAAGAGGAAAAAGAAACAAAATAATTAATGCCTTAAAAGGATATAATTTAAATGAAATGAAATGAAGATTACCTTCAGATGGTATTAGTAAGGGATGCAATGTACTTGTGCATGTTAAAAGAAATGATAAATGCGTGCCTTCGGGTGCAATTTGAGGGTATCTTTGGGTACTTTTTTTTAAGGTGTCTTCGGACACATTTTGAGTGTCTTCAAGCATATTTTTGAGAATATCTTCGAGTATGACGGTAATCCTGTAATGACTATTAACAATATTAAAAAGAGTAATTACTTAAAGTGAAACAAGAATGAATAAATTTAAAGTTTTAATGAAAATAATTGTATTTTTTGTTGATCATTCATGCATAGCATACAACAACAACAACAAAGCCTTAATCCCACTACGTAGGATTGGCTACATGAATCCTTTTTCTCCATTGCATCCTATTTAGTGTCATATTTTCATTTAGTTCTAATAAATTAAGATCATTTTTTATACAATACGCCTAAAACTTTCTAGGTCTATCTCTGCCTTTCTTAACATAAGTCGAATTTAAAACATCTACTCTCCTAATTGGATCATCAGATGGTCGACTATTAATGTGACCAAACCATCTAGGAGCTACAGTAGCTGTATCATAAATATAATCATTTTGCATTTGGTCTTTAAGTGTAGAGCCACTCATCCACCTAATCATTCTCATCTCAGCAACTTAACTTAGTATTATGCTTATCTTTTAAAGGCCAACCTTCAGCGCATAACATAAGCCAACATTCAGCCCTATTACGGATATATTCATTCATAGCATAACATAACATATAAATTTAATACATATTAAATTATAATTACTCACTAAGTTATACTTTGTTGCAAGTTAATGTTTTGTTTCAGAAGAAAGGGAGTTTTAGGTTGATCTTAGGAGGGGAACTCTCTCATTGGGCGGCAATCCTAACCCATTACTATGGGGAGTTTTAGGTTGATCTTAGGAGGGGAAGACCTCTCTCATTGGGCGGCAATCCTAACCCATTACTATGGTCAATTGGCCCTTGGTCCCATATTGGTTGTACCTATTTGGCGGGTTCAGCCCCCCTATAGAGCCTGTGTCAGAGAGTTGACCTAAAAGTTCTTAGCTATTAGTAGTTGAACCTTCGACTGCAAGTTTCTAGGTCATTTCTCCACTTTCTGTCTTCTCATCAAGTATATCTTCTCATGACACTTCTTGTATTCGATAAGATTACGACAAATAATATCCATACCATTGCCATCTGTGGACTTTATTGTGAGATGATGGGTAAGTATTTTTGATTGGAATGAGTTGAGGCTTTCTGAAGATACAATTATAGATTTATGATGCTTTTAATGAAGTTGAATCATCATTTTTCATAGATGTCATATTTTCACTAGCAAACGTTCTGGGAGGCTCCTCTCGCCCCAGATTCTCGCTAAAGAACTCTCTAATGATTGAAAGTTCTTTGAGTTGAGTCTCATCCACTCAGACTAGCTAGAAACGAGGACGGTCACATAACTCCTTATGTCAAACAAGATTTTTGAGGAGATGATAATGATTTATTTTTGTAGAGATGATGGTGGAGTCATCAAAGATGTTCTAGAAAAGCAAAGGAGCTGTAGTGAAGGTAGATTAATGATTTTTAAAATTTAGTTAAGTCCATTCAAGCTGTGATGCTGAACTACTTTAAGGGCAACCCCTATAGTGAATGTTTGCATTGCTCAGATAAGTTTGACGGGTCATTTAGGTGTTTTATGTTGGTTTTCCTGAAGTTGGATTTCATTATGATGAGCCAAAACTCTTTCAATTGTCATTCCTTGATGAACCTTTCAATCAATTTTTTTGCATTCCTTTGTGATGCTTATGATCGTTGTTGTGTAAACAAAACTTTAGTTTGTATCTGGTCTTGACATGCTTCTTCATAGTCGTGGGCCATCTGAAATGCCCCCTTTTTTGTAATATTAGTGAGTTACTTATTGAACGATGGTGATTAAGCTTTATAAAAACTCTCATAAGGTGCAACAAAGTGGTACCCTTTAGGGATGGCATGTTGGTGCTTTTTGTAAGGACCTTTGCGATGGGAGAAATTGGTCCATCTATTCTTCTTTTCCATATGAGAAGTTGTTTTGTTATGACTGTTATTACCTTGATTCTTTTGCTTCTTGATAGTGTCAAGGATATTATTGGCGAGTTACACAGTCTTGTGGACAAAATCTTCAGTATTGATAAATTTAGTGGCTTTTAAAAGCAGATGTTCTATGGTGTGGGATGAATTCCTTGCAATTGGGAAGTAAAAACTATCGGGCTATTGACCTAGAATAAAAGTTGCTTTGGCCGGGTATTTGTTTTCGTCAACAATGTTGTATGTGACCTCGTGGAACCTTTCACACACTCTTGAAGGACTTAGTCCTCGATTTTCTAAACACAAAATAGTGACTGAGACGTCTTAAGATGTATTTTTGGATGAGACACATTGGGAGAGAAATAAGCATGAAAACTCAGTCGATTTTATATTAATGGTCAACAAAGAAGTGAACCGCCTCCGTACTATCTTTGAAGTTATTGATAAACAAGCAATACCTAACTTTAAAAAAAATATTGAGACATCACGTTCTTTTAAGTGTCCAAATAATTTTAACTGTTCAAGAAAAAAAATATTAAAATTTATTAACTTTTCTAAACCTCGTAAGAAAAATCTTAAATTTTAGGGTTGGCAATTGCTGACCCTGGACATAATTTGCTTTTGCCCCTACCTCCATCATGTCTTCTTCATACTATAGGTATTTGTATGCTTTCCACAGATGACTCCAAGGACGTGAATGAGTAAAAAAATCCATTCCCAAAGCTGTCAAGAGATAGCACACATGTTCAGGTTTGGTAGCAAGGGAGATTAGGAGAGTACCATGTATGGATTATTCTATGATATAATAAAGGGAAGAGGTTTGGTAGCAAAGGAGATTAGGAGTGAACCATATATGGATTGTTCTATGATGAGATAAAGGGAAGAGCAATAACACAAAAGGATACTCAATGTATTTTTGGTGGTTTGGTCGTGAAATCTGCATCCATTGTGAAGTCTTTTCAGAAGATTTCTTCCTTGTTTGAGAGAGGTCAAGTTACATGAGACAATTTTGCCAACTTGCATGTTCTTTGAGCTACTGGGGACTTTTTGGCTAGTCGGACTTGGTGGAAACCTTGGCTTCTCAAAAAAGAGACGAGAGATATTGAAGAGAAAAGTAACAAATCGGGAGGACCTATGATAAAATAAAATTACAATATGGAAAAGTAAGTGAGAAAACTTAAAATCAGATATCAAGACAAATTAATTTCTCTACGTTGAATTGCCTTGAGATCTTTTGGTATTGTTAACAACTAGCCTCTTAGTCAACCTTTTTCATACACTAATGTTAAGTATTTCTAATAGTGATTCTCTTTTGAAGTTAGGATCAATTTTGATGGGTAGTTTGAGGGGTCAAGTGCTTTATGACAACTCAACGGAATTGAATGCGGCCACATGTGATGATATATCTATGATTAAGGAAGAGCAAAGGATATTGGAGACCTTGGTCTGTTGGGGCATCAAGAGGTGCTTATGACCTCGGATGGCAGTTTTTTTTTTGATGAATCAACACGTTAAGAAATATTCATAGGACAAACATGTTTAATGAAGTACGTTATTTGATGGAATGTCATTTTTCCATGAACCAATGTTCATGAATTCTAGTGGTATAATGTATTGGGATTTGTGATGATGGCATTAATCTTCTCAAAGAATATGGCCGAAGTGAGTTCGAGAGGAAACAATGGCTACTGAACATTACCTAAACTTTCCCCAAGATAAAGCATTCCTGTGATACATTCTTGAAAGATGAGCTATCAAGAGGTAGAAATTAGATTAAGCGATGGTCAAATCTATCATAATAATTTTGAATACATTCATGGTGGAGAAAGCCCAATTTATGGCTATTGACTAGCCCATTACTTTCTAGAATGATGGGGTGTTATTTTATCATTTATTTGATAATGTCTCGCTAAATTTTTTATTTACAAATTATTCAATTATTTTATTGGCTCACTCCATGTGAATCATCTATTACTACTTGATTATGTTATGTGGATTTTTGATAATCTAGTTGAAGGTGTTAGAATTATATCTCATGCCTCATTAATTATGGTCATATTTATATTCTATTTTTCCAAGTTTTTCATATTGCTTTCCATGTTTCATAATTATTTTGTTGGAAATAATTTTATTTTATTGCTACTTTCTAGTTGTTAGAAAATAGGCTAATATAGTGATTTTGAGACATTTACCTACATATTAACCCTCTTTGTTGTTTGAATGACAAGATTTGCCCTTGAAATATGCATCCTTGTCATCTTCTTGCATGCTCAAAGTTTATCAAATCCACTATTTCTGTAATTTAAAATTTTATATTTGTTGCAGGGAAGCAGATTAGGCATAACCAATGTAATTTCTACCGATTCGATTCGCCACATGATGAGAAGCTTTGCAGACGAAAAAGAAAATCCACTCCTATGGTCCTCAACTTATCATGCTGGTGAATGCTTAGATCCGGTGGAATTTGCGAAAGCAAAGTTGAAGAGGAAAGCAAAAAGACTCGCCGGTGCTTCCCAATCTTTTCTTGCGGAAGAATTGGTTGATAATTCCACAGCTGGTAAATCTGTAAGAAAATCACCAGAGGGTTCTAGGACAGAGGTAATTGGTAAAAAGCAAATGGCTATTGAGGGTTTCAAGGCACAGAGTGAGATGGTCATTGATAGTCTTGATAGATTGATCACGAAATGGGAAGATCAAAATCAATCTGCTATCATTGAAGGTGTTCATTTGAACCTCAATTTTGTGGTGGGTACTTGTGTATGGTATCTCAAAATGATGTATTATTGTCTCTTTTCTTGCGTACATTTTTTTTATTGTTTAAAAAAAAGGGCGGCCACTTATATTTGGCATATTTAACACTTAAACTTTGATATTTATTTATTTCAATTTTAAAAGTTACTAATAGTGGTATTTTTTATGTGATGTTGATGATTTGAGGGGTATGCAATATCAACACAATTTTAGAAGTTAGTGATAGTGGTATATTTCACATAAAAATGGGGCCATATATATACATACCACACAATTCTTACATATTACCTATCTAACACTTTAAATTTGATATTTATATGCATATAACTGAATTCTTTAACATCACATCAAAAATACAAATATTATTAACTTCTTTAAAAGTGAAAATTTACCTTTTCATGCATCTGTTTATAGAAACTATTATAAATGTAAATATCCAACCTAGGTGTTAGAGATGTAAATACATAAGAAATCTGTGGTATGTATGCAAATTTCCCCAAAAAAGAAAAGGGAAATTTACATACATGCCTCACAGTTCTTATGTATTTACATATCTAACACCTAAATCTCATATTTAGTTGCATGCCTTAGAAATCTTTATCACCATATGATAATATCACTGTCGCTATATTCTTAAAAGTGAAATATACCTTTTCTTGCAGTTTATGATAAGGTGTTACAAGTGCAAATATCAAACTTTGGCTGTTAGATATTTAAATACATATGAATTGTACTGTATGCTATGTAAAATTCCCCCCACAAAAATGACATGTAATATTAGTGCCATAAAGTAGAAGCTATATTTCTTTCATTTATGCTTACGACTCTCTTGTACCTTGGCTTCTAGACAAATTTGTTTCATTTACATATATTTTTCAAATAAACTAGTTCATAATTCTTATAATTATGTGCTTTTTTCTATCAGAAATTTGTGAATTATTTTTTATTCTAAATTGGCTTCAAATTTTTTTTTTTCTTTTTTGTAGATGGGACTCATGAAGAGGCATCCTTCAATAATACCTTTTATGGTTTACATCACAAATGAGGAGAAACACAAGGAGAGATTTGCAGTGCGCGCTAAATACATGGCACTAGATCCCTCAAAAAACAAATATGTAAAATACATAAATAATATAAGAACGATTCAAGATTACCTCTGCAACCGTGCTGATAAGCATCTGGTGCCTAAAATAAATAATACAAATGTTGACCGAAGTGTAGCGACAATTCATGCTACAGTTTTCAGCTGTCTAAGGAGGCAAGAGGCAGGCGAGAAGCTGTATGATCCGCTTACAAATACTGTTCCTATAATTCATGAAGAACACAGAAATCAATGTGCTGCTAATTCTCTTAGTTCCAAAAGAATGTTTCAGCTGATACAGAGATTAGGGTCTTCGAGGCATCTTATGGCACTCGTTAATACTGATGGCTCCGTTGCGAGGACTTGGACGTTTGATTCTGTTAATGGTAATATGATTCCTTCATCCAATGATGGAAGCTGCGAAGAAAGCAATGTGTTTGGAAGTTTGCAGATTTGTAAGGCAGAGCCTGTAAATCTTCAGTTTGGAAATTTTGGGATTAGTGCTTGGGCTAATGATGCAGGTGGTACAAGTTATGCTGGAAGTATTGATGATTCCAGAGCTGATGGAACTGATTCTATGAGCAAATACTACTCTTCTTGCCCTAGCTCTCCTAGAATTTCAGGTGCTTCCAAAGAGGTAATGAAGAAATTTTTTTTTTTTGCAAATTTAGGCTTTTTTTAGATGCCACTTTAAATGCAAATATAATTTTTGCGGTCATTACATAAATCTTAACCTAATATTACACTTTTAGGTGATAATGGATACGTGTTGTAGAAGTTCTTCATATGCAAACCATGCTATGTGTATTTGCTTCCAGTTTTATGACTTGCATATATGCCCTTAACTGTAATTTTTTAGTAGTAGTAGTAGTAGTGTTTGTCAGCGGCTTGATATAATTGAAGCCGGAACTTTCCTAATTGATCTCTTTTTCAGTTCTCGTTTCTATACCGGATGTTTTGCAATTTAACTTTTGAGTGTATTTTTAATTGTTGTTTTGTTTGGACTATTTTTGTACATGACATTTGAATTCCATTGGGACGTTTTTATCCTTTTTCCTGGATGTGTATCCAGTTCGTTTTTTTTATCTCGCCATTTACCATTGTCTTGCATATTATGATGTAGTTAAACTGCTAGTATTTTCAATACCAAATCTTTTAGTTTTTAACTTTTGTCCACTTGTCCTGAATCTACAGCTTCTTGAGAACTGGGTATGTTATCACTGAACAAACAGTCTTATTTATAGGTGTCTAAGATGAATACTAGAAGAAAGCATAAATGAAAGAATCAATGATTTAAAAGAGAATAAATGAAAACACGCATGCATACATACATGCATACATATATGTGTGTGTCATGTGAGAAGTTTTCCTCTTACAAATATATAGTTGACCCAATCAATCGACATAAGTGAATGTTTCCATATACAAGTGCTTAATCTATGTATACAACAACCCTTTCCTAGGATCTTTTTTTGATGTATTTGAGAATGGGAAGACCATCCTAATGTTTTTGTTTTTGGGTTTTACATATGTTGACATACAACTCCAACTACAAAAAAAGAGATATCCAATCGTGTAGCTACTAAGTAAATTAATTTTTGGTAAATCTTTGGTACTTTGATAGATTACAAATGACATATACTTATCATATATGGTCCGTAAAAACTATGCGGGTGTCAATAGATTTACCAAAATACCACCTTGACTGATTTACTGGTTGCTTTTGCTCCCCGTCTTTTTGGTTACAACCTGAACATGATTAAATTATTTTTTTGGATTTGTAATGTTGATTATTAGAATCCGAATTTATTTATTAGTAAAATAGATACTCTATTTTTTTCTATTCCCATTCATGTAGTGATAACCTTACAGTTCAACATGAAAACTGAAATATAGTTGTATATTCCTTGGGCACTGTAAGTATTCTTCTACTCTTCATTCATTTCCCTCAGAAGCAAATGCTATCTTATAAAATTGCCTAGCTATATGATAGTAGCTGTAAAATATACATCCCTTGTCACATTGTATATATGTTTGTGTATAAACCCATGTTTTTAACTCTAATTTGCTATCAATCCAGCCTATGGAAGAAATATCTGTATCTGGAAGTGGAAGTGAAGATGAAGCTGATGAACAGCCTGCTGCTGACAGTGAAGACGATCACATGTACACAGAGGACATCCATGAAGAGGTATGTATTATAATTTTTGGCTCATATCTATTGTTGGTTATTGTTTTAGATTCGACTTGTGTTAAGAAAGACAGAGGTAGACCTAGAAAGGCTTGGGCTTATTGTATAAAAAATGATCTTAATTTACTGGAACTAAATACTAAATGAAAATATGACACTAAATAGAGAAAAGGATTCATGCAGCCAACCCCACTTAGTGGGATTAAGGCTTTGTTGTATTGTATGATTTTATTAGTTGTTGGTTATTTAGCACCTTGTTCCCATTTCATGTAATTTATATGTTTTCACTCTGGTTCAGGCATGCAAATGAATTAAGAACCGGAATTATTTTCTTAAAACAGGATTGATTTCATTTCACCGACGAAAACTCACATGAAAAATGTACATTTGTTGGGTACCCCCACCAACTACAACTAAGCTGAACCAAGCTAAGCAGGTGCTTGTTCCAGTTCGAGCTTGAGGTTGTTTATTAAGAGCTTGTTCAAGCTTGATTCGAGCTCGGTTCATATAGAGATTTTAAAGCTTATTAATGGTCAGCTCGTTTAACAAAATGAATGAGCCATAATCGAGGTTTAATTGAGTTTTATGTGAGCTTTATAAAAATTGAACGAGTCATGTCAAACATTGCTCGTTGAGCCTAAAATTAAACATTCAAATGATACTGTTTCTGAAAGAGTTGTAATCGAGCCATAATCAAATTTGTTCATGAGATTTAAATGATTATATTTATGAACATAAATGAACAGAACAATAAGCTGTTCAAGTTTGTTCACTCAGTATTCGAGTACTTACGAAATTCTTCAAACTCGTTCGATTAATTAATCAAATTCTCGGTTCATAGCATAGTCAAGTGTAACTTGTCAAATGCTTGGTACATTTGCAAGCGTGTTCCTTGACATTCTATTTCCTGTCCACTAACATTTTATGTAGATGCAGAAACTAAAAATCTTTCATCATATTCTTGCAGACAGATGAATTTTTTTTAAGTTCAGGCTATAAAGTAATAATATATTTTATTTGATAGATGGTGAAAGCATTATTTATGGAAGATTATATGGCAATGATATATTTAGATCATTTGGGCAAGTATAGTAGATAATAGAGTAAGGGGTTAGTGGATGCCCCAATAGGGAATGCGATATTTGTAGACCAAAGTTATATGACTAGAAGTTGTAGAGGAGTTTGGTCTATTGTTAACGCCTTATGTAATTCAATGGTAGAAAGGAGGAGGATGCAAAATGCATAAAAATGAAACAATAGGTGGGATGAAGCTAATTATTGCCACGATCTGATTCGAGGCTTAGAATTAACTAATGCGGGCACAAACGGTCGGACGGTGGGAATTAAATTTTATATAACTAAACATTTAGCAAATGAAAAAACCGCTGAAGAAATTAAATTAAAACAACAAAATTAAATTTCCCTCCTTACAGATTGTTCGCGCCTTCTATAAATATTTTTTCTTATATTGTTCATCTTTTAATCAATTAATTACACATGAAAAGTTAGTTTAAAAAACAAATAATATGCATGCCAATGCATACCAACACACCTAAAGTATAGTAATATAAAGAAAAAATAAATAATATAACATGTCAATGATTCATTAAAATATTTGATAGTTTATGAATATGATAACTTACGATATTTCATGCTATTCAATATGTTTTACGATATCAATAATATATTTATATTATTCTATGTCTGTGCAACCGTTACAGGAACACCATTTAAAAATTGTATCAGTTAAGCTATTTCAATGTCAATATCATTTTCCATTTATGTGCACCGGTACTTTAGTGTTTTCCCACTTGTATCATAAATAGACAAATCTATCATAGTAAATCATGACATGCAAATATATTATATTAAATATTATCTAATAATGATCATTTCATTCTCATTTGTATAACAATCAATATATTTGTGCATGAATCAATATTTATGGTAATTTAAACAATACTGAGTATACTTGTCACTATAACAATATGAACAAAATTCAATAGAACCATAAATCATGGAGTTGTGTTATATATATAACAACATCAGTAAGTGCATTTGGTCGAGAAGAAACAAAATATTACTATAACATAAAACTCTTAATACTCACCTCTAAACCGTATGACTTGTCTTAAATCTTCAAACACGCTTAATCTTGTCTTCAATAATTAGTTACCTATAATATAATAAAGAATAAAATTTTAAGCATATCATTAGTTATGTTTAATCAATCCTTTAGTTAATTACGACATTTTAATTGTTGATTACAAACTTTTATTTAATTATTCCGGTTACTTTAATTTGACTATCAATACAATAACTTACTCAACATGAATGATTTGTATTTTTTTTCAAATTCAATTAATGTCCCCTCTAATTTAAATAAGTAAAATGTAAAAATTATTTTCATTTTTTGATTAAAGTTTTTATACTTATTATTATTATTATTATTATTATTATTATTATTATTATTAATTATGTTATTGCATATATACAAATTTCATAAACTATATTATTTTAATTAAGATTTCAGTACTTAAACTTTAAATTGAATCATTGAAATTAATATAAAATATTATTAATTTATACAAAATACCTTTGGAAATAATATTCTAACATTGTTCTCAAAGTTAATCTAAAATTTCTTTAACTCGAGTCTTGATTTAATTAAATCTTACAAGTAATAATTAATAATTAATAAATATTTATTAACAATAAATTAAATTCATAAATGAATATTATCAAAGCCCTTACCTCACTGTTTGGTTTCCCCCCTTCCCGCACGCAAACCCTTCCTTGCCTCTTCTCAGCTCGACAACGGCGTCACACACGAGGTCTGGTCCTTACGAGAGCTCCTTCCTCTCTACAAAACCATAGTGTTCTTCCTCGTCACTCCTTTCTCTACCTTCGATTGTGGGTCGATGCAACACATCTCACATGCAACCTTCCTCTTTCTTCATGCAAGCACAATGTTGCTGCCCAAACTTGCTTGAGGCACCTTCTCCCGCACCAAACCACGGGGTCCTCTTCTTTCCATGACCTCAACACTTTGGTAAGAGAATTGCTCGACTCCTATTCATTCTCTGCCCTCTCTGTTGTTCTCTCCTTTCCTTCATTCATGTCACTTTATAACACGGAAGTACCCTTTCGAGTTTCAGCTTGTATGCTTCCTCTCCCAGTCTTCGACTCAATGAAACGAGGCACATAATTATGATTATGAATATTACATGTCTACACCCTATACCTCTTCGAAAGAGGAGAAAAATATATTCCATCAGTTCGTTATGATAGATCACATGGGAAAACTGAAAGTTTGTAGGTAGGGTCCTAATATTTATGTTCAAGTTGGTTTAAATCTGTTTGATCATGCTTAATTATGATTGTTTTATTTTATTTTATTATAACATTCTGTGTCATAATTTGTTAAAAATTTGATTGTCGAGTCAATCCTACCCCTATTCAAGATTAGCTTGAAGTTATTCTATCCAATCTTGAGCTGAGCCAATAATTGTTAAAAACTAGCTTGATTTGATCTTGATTTGAGTCATGGCATAGTTTTAAAGCGCCAAAGTTCTATGTATGTACATATGAGAGTTTATGTTTTAGATACTTAAATACATAAGAATTGCGTGCTATGCATATTAAATTCGCGTATAAGTTCAAATAGTTGCAGAATATCCATTGACATTTCTACGCTAGTTTATCCTCAACTATCAACATAGTCTTTGACGCAGCTGCCTTAAACTACTTTGCTTTGAGGCCAAATGACCGCGGCTAATTTATTGCTCTGTTTTTAATTATTTTTGTGTGCAAGTGTATAATTGCCATCTCACCCTTACGTATTTTGGTCCATAAGCTGTTGAATAGTTACAGGCTAGTGGGAATGTATTTGGATAGAGAAAATTATCAATATATTTTCTTGACTCTTGCAGAAGGTCATTTTAGTCCCAAAATTTATAAAGTGTCAACTTAATCCCCATACTCTTTTAATATGAGCTGAAATAATCTCGACAGGGTACTATTTGATTCCTAATTCAAAGAGCTTGGTGACTCGTCTGACACTTTTATAGAATGTGGGACTAAAATGATCTTTTGCATTGTTTTGCAAGGATTATTTTGCACAATACAACCATTATTGTTTTTTTTTTCCCAAAAAAAAAACATGAGCTATAAAAAGCTTCACTATGCCGTTTTCGTCTTCCTCATACTCATCTACAAGATAAGCACTTTCTTTTTTCAGATGGAGGGTTCGGTCGATGAAGAATCAACCAAGTCAGACGAAGAGTATGACGACTTGGCCATGCTCGATGGCTTAGAGGATGGCTATTCTTCTTCAGATGATGAGCCACCAGCGGCTAATTGCAAGAGACTAACAGATGGCAGGCTTACCGAAATCAATTCAGTTAAGAAAATTGAGCTCTTGGAGCTGATACAGAAATATCAACAGAGCCTGGATTTGTTTTTCCAGAATAATGAAACTTCGAACCAGGCATGCAATCCTCACCTTAATTCTGATAGAAAAAGTAGTCTGGATTTGTTTTGAACAATATTTATGGTCTCTCTTCAATAAAAAGTTAAAAAATAAAATAAAACCGATGGTATCAAATAATTTCATTTAGTTTTTTGTGGTTCAATTCATGGCAACTTATTCTCTGCTGCCTTCCAATATTGCTGAAGATGACATTTGTGTGAGGTTAGGGTGAGTTATTATGGAAGTAATTTTGGAGGTAATTATTGTTTATGGCATTTTTCATACATTCCAAAGATTTTTTATATATTTACATATTTAATAATTAGTTTTTCATATTTATATGCCAGCCCTCAGAATCTTTATCATATAAAATATACTATGATTACCAAGTTTTCAAAAGTGAATTACACCTTTTCATGTATAGGTTTGTGACAGTGTAAATATCAAACTTTGAGTTTCAAATATTTAAATACATTAGTATTGTGTGGCATGTATGAAAATGCCTCAAATAATGGGTCGCTTAAACACCTCATGTTTCAAGGACAATTTTTTATATATCTTCATATATAATTTGCTTGGTTCGTTCTTACATTTCCTCGCTATGTTCGTCTGAGCATAGGCCATGCGGAAATGAAGTTCTAAAAAGGTAAATGTGAAGAGACGTTTCAATCAAAACAAAACGGGGCACGAACAAAAGGGCAATTGAAAGGTCAAATTTTTCTTCAAGTCTTTATTCATTTAAGCTATTCAATATGCTTTTAAATTCTTAACAATGCATTCTTTATTGCTTTTGACCACTCCTTGAATTAATATATCTTAAAATTTTCTTAACTTAATTACTTTTGCATTTACTACATCTTAATACCTCTTGAGAGCAATTCTAACATCCTTCAAAAATCGAAAATTAATTCATGGCCATACGCATTTTGGCGAAATTTATTGCTTTTAATCACTCCTTGAATTAATATATCTTAAAATTTCTTAACTTAATTACTTTTGCATTTAATACATCTTAATACCTCTTGAGAGCAATTCTAACATCCTTCAAAAATCAAAAATTAATTCATGGCCATACGCATTTCGGCGAAGCTTTGTTTCATTATGATTGGCATGATAAAATTGGGCTCGCTTCCATTTCATAATGAAAAGATGATTATGATACATATATAAACTCATAAAATAATAATTCATGCACTATTATTAAAACTTCTAACATGATCATACATAAGCAACAACCAAAATAAAGTAAATGTTTTCATGCAAATGTTCCACATTACGTAACTATGATATATGAATGCAATTGAAAAAACACATATGACATGAAAATTAGTTATTGAATGAAACCCATAAGTCACCTAAAAAAACAGAAGTTCTTGTGGGAGCACATGTTGACATAACTATGATATATGAATGCAATTGAAAAAACACATGACAGGAAAATTAGTTATTGAATGAAACCCATAGGTCACCTAAAAAACAGAAGTTCTTGTGGGAGCACATGTTGACAAATCTGCATAAAAAATATAACAAGATAGCCGTTAGATCTAATATTGATATGAATGCCAATGATATAATTTTACTTGCAGTCATGCATAATGAATGCTAGATAATGAAAATACTAATATTTGTGTACCACATTGGTGACAAGCATTTCGTTGGGCATAGTGGTGATGATCTTAAATTTGGTGAAGCCACCTGAGGTGATTTATGTTATGATTGCTACTATTAAGAACGAGTGATGAGTTATCCATGGAGTGATATAGAATGTTAAGGAAAGTATTTGCATATGATGTGTGCTAGCAATAGAGTACTGGATTATCGTCTTATTGTTGCTCAAAGATTCAACACACACTCAGATAAAAGAAAGCAAACAATAACGACACTTGAAGTTTTTATATAGAAAACCCGTAATGTAAAATAACCGCGGAGCCTGACCCAGTTGTAAAAATTCACTATAAATTAATGATTACAGAGTCACCTTATCCAACGAATGGGAAAGTGTTACAAAGTCTCCTGAATTACAATGTCGACGTGTGGATGAACTTATTGCAAAGAACAAGCAACGATCGATAACGATTAGCGATAGACAACAGGTGGTGGTAGACGTTAGTCGGTGCTTGTCGACGACGGTTGACGATGATCAGCGGTAGTTGACGACAACAATAATGATGCAGTACTTCACTCCTCAAAGCTTTTAGTTTTTCCTCAATTCTCAAGTTTTCTTTCCCCCCTCTCATGCTTTCTTTCCCCCCTCTCATGAGAGAGGTAAGGTTCTATTTATAATGTTCTGGGTGCAATTAATGCATGAATATGAACCACTTTGATCGGATGGTTTAGAGGGCTCCCCTCGATCAGACAACGTTTGATGAACATTCTGTCAATAAGGAAGAACGAAAATCAGACAAGTAAATTAAGAGTTTTCTATAATTAGGAGCTTCCTTATTTAAATTATTTCCAATATCTATATTCTGATTTATTTCCCTTTTAGCTGAATATTTAGATTAGGAATATGTATTATTAAGTTGCCTAAAATAGATTATACAAAATATTTTATACCTAAAATAGATTGTAAGATTATTATTTAATGGAATAAAAGCAAGGGGAAAATGCTTCGAGCTTATTCAGATTTCAGCCTATTTTTTTCTCAAAACTTTAATATGATATCAGAGCCAAATTTTTGCCCTAACCACCGCTAATTGTTGGAGTACCGTCAAAACTCCCTTCCTGTCGGCCTTCTTGCTGGACGGGAATGGAGGAATTATTTCTTTGCCTTGATTTTTGCTCGTCTTTTCGTTGTCTAATTATTTCTCAGCCTGCGTCGTCTTCGTTCTACTTTGTCTTCCTCTTCGACTACGAAAATCAGACAAGTAAATTAAGAGTTTTCTATAATTAGGAGCTTCCTTATTTAAATTATTTCCAATATCTATATTCTGATTTATTTCCCTTTTAGCTGAATATTTAGATTAGGAATATGTATTATTAAGTTGCCTAAAATAGATTATACAAAATATTTTATACCTAAAATAGATTGTAAGATTATTATTTAATGGAATAAAAGCAAGGGGAAAATGCTTCGAGCTTATTCAGATTTCAGCCTATTTTTTTCTCAAAACTTTAATATGATATCAGAGCCAAATTTTTGCCCTAACCACCGCTAATTGTTGGAGTACCGTCAAAACTCCCTTCCTGTCGGCCTTCTTGCTGGACGGGAATGGAGGAATTATTTCTTTGCCTTGATTTTTGCTCGTCTTTTCGTTGTCTAATTATTTCTCAGCCTGCGTCGTCTTCGTTCTACTTTGTCTTCCTCTTCGACTCGGCCAGCCTCGACAGAACCGCTCCTTCGTTCTAACTCCGCCCGCAGTGGCTCCCTCCTTCGATCTCGCTTGTGTCGCTTGTGCGTGGCCACCGTGTTCTAAAGATGTAGAAAGAGAGCGTGAGCATAAGCTACGTGTACCCTCGATTCCTTGGGCTCCTCATCAAGCGACCAGATCTCGTTGCCTCGGGATCGTACGTCGTTATCCGGAGCGAAATAACTGCCTCCGTTGACCTAGTTGTCTACATTCCAGTCTCCAATTACGTCTCCCTTGATGTCCCCGTGCTTTCAACTATAGATGAGTCGCTTCTCTTCCCATCAGTTTCTACCGTTGTTGCTCCATGTCTACTGGAGGAGGCACGTACAGTTACCGCTGAATCGCCATGGTTCCGTTGTCGGGATCTACTATGTTTAGAGGTGCTACAACAAAATTAAATGAATGGGATAGTAAAGTTGGTGACGAAGATTGTGGATCTACTATGCTTAGAGGTGCTACGGCTTCGACATCTCGGCTTCAACACTTTTGGCGTGAAGATCAGGAACAAATCATCCTCGTCATCACAGGAAGAATCAATAGCATTTGGTTCATATAACATGACGCAGATGCTACTTGTGGGCTATGATCGGTAGCATTTAGATCAGGATGCAGATCCTACTTGTAGGTTATGATCGATAGCATTTGGATTGCGTAACTGGATCTTATTTGTGGGCTATCATCGGTAGCATTTGGATTAGAACGCGGACCCTACTTGTAGGCTATGATCGATAACATTTGGAATGTGTAACTAAATCCTTTTTGTGGGCTATGATCAGTAGCATTTGGATCAGGACGCAGATCCTATTTGTAGGCTATGATCGATAGCATCTGGATCATGTAACTGGATCCTATTTGTGAGCTATAATCGGTAGCATTTGGATCGAGTAACTGAAAGTGGATCCTTCTTAGGCTATGATTCTAATTTCTAGGCGAAAATGAAAAAGAATTACTTGTTTTTCTTTGCTCAAATCATGTTATTGTTCAGGAGCTGTCTCTGAGACTTGACATTCTCGGCTTTAGCACTCACAGCTTGAGGAGTTTTAGTCCCGATAATGTTATCAGTTTGTTGTTAGCAAATTGATGCTTCTTAATTAGTCAACATCAATTTGAGGGGATGTCAATAAGGAAGAACGGAAATCAGACAGCTAAATTAGGAGTTTTCTATAATTAGTAGCTTCTTTATTTAAATTATTTCCAATATCTTTATTCTGATTTATTTCCCTTTTAGCTGAATATTTAGATTAGGAATATGTATTATTAAGTTACCTAAAATGGATTATACAGAATATTTTATACCTAAAATAGATTGTAAGATTATTATTTAATGTAATTAAAGCAAAGGGAAAAGGTATCGAGCCTATTCAGATTTCAACCTGTTTTTTTCTCAAAATTTTGACACATTTGAGTGTCGTAATGATGTCAGAATTGAACGATCTTAAGTTCATTGGATTCGTCTAACCGAAACGCTCAATTTGATTATAAACTCTTCAGATTTGACATATATTTTATCTTCCAAATGTATCTGAAAAGCTTCCAAAAAGTTTAATGTCTTGATCGTGGCTTCATTTGACTCGGATTGGACCAATTTTTATATTATTAGGTCTGTCTTATTGAGCTAATCAGTTTGATTATAAGTTTGTTGAAATCAAACTTCTGGATGTTGCTTGAACGTTTCTTACTCAAAAGATTGTCCCAAGATCTATGACATGCCTTGAGTTTCGTGAAGAATGTTAGAAATTTGTTGATGACGTATTAACATACATGGACAAGGAATGGAGTGATAAGTTATATCATTAATTTGTTTACAATACAAGTGATATAACTAAATATTCATTGAACAATTTGTCATAGATGATATGCTCTTACATGGCCGTGCATTAAAATGACAATAACTACTCTTATTATTTCTTTTCAATGTATTAACTTATATGGTGGGTTTTGTATAACATGTTTGCTTTATTGCACATCATATTATAACAATACCACATGTGTAATTGCTTTAAACAAATGCTAAAAATAACTACAAGGAAAGATTGGACCATGTAATTATTTTTTGTGACATTATGTTGTAAATATTCTTCTATAAAAATAATATTTTATATTTATTTTGATGATGTAAACAAGAGAATAATTGTGTTTATTATACAAATATTTTTTTTAGATAATTAATAGCATAATCATTACATATATTATTTATTATTCTATAATGATATACTAGCTTTATGTGACTACAATTACAATCATAATTACTATACAAGTTAATAATACCTTTTAGCAGGGATGTTGTTTTTGGAATATATGACTATGTCATGTTGTGAAAAGGTTTTTATTTAGTTGAGGCATGATAAAGGTTGGCTACGAATGTCTATTGGGTTATGCTCTTGACCTACATTTGAACTATTATGAGTTAAATTAGATTTAGTTTATTGGTGTGCATCTAAGTATATTTCACCATGTTTGTCATGCTAATCTATTTAATAATCTTATTCATTTCATGCAAGTTAAGTTGATCCAGTTAAGTTTAGCTCTAAGGTCGGATTGAACCTATTAATCTCTTATGTTGACTAAACCGTTTAGGATGTTCTCGCGGAGCTTGTGAAGGTAATGAAATTATTTTGTTTAGATGCTACATAAAACATGTGCTTAAATATAAGATTTGAGTTGAGGCATTGCTGTTAGTTAAAATAGAGATCAATAATAATTCAAAATAATTAGTACTTTTTAGACTTTTAGGGGCTATTTGACAATAATTTTAGACTAAGATTTAACATGTAGACTAAAACTTGTCGGACGGGCAATTTGGACAAATAAAGCCCAGGATTCCATAAATTGAGATTTTATGGATTCCGGCCGTTAATCGTAGATTTACTAAATTCTGTTATACGACATATTTTGTCAAACCAGGAGGAGCTAAGAGGAAAAATGACAAGATTTGGGTTACTTTTCTCGATGATTTCGGTAGGAGTAGAGCGGGAGGATGATAAAGATGAGAGTTTTAGTTACACTGCAATTTCGTTGTTGCCTTCCTATCTAGCTAAAATCACGATTGTATTGCAAGGGTTCGCTCACAAAGGTGATGTTTTGGGCAAAACTAAGAGTTATGTATGTGAGGGTTTCTAGAAGGGTTAGATAGATCAGAGGCATTAATTTTATTTTATTTAAATTGAATGCTAATTAATAATTAATTAATAAGGCGTTAATTTTATTTTATTTAAATTTTTATTATTTAAATTGAATGCTAATTAATAATTAATTAATAAATTATCATATTATTTATAATTATGTAATTATTTAATAATTAATTAATTAAAATAAATGCATATTAAATTTTCATTTATTTAATAAATTTCTAAATAATCATTAATTAACATACTTAATAACTACTAAATTATTAATTTATAACTATTATATTATTGCTTTAAGTAGTAATTTCAAAATTAGAAATACGATTTATTAAAATTTATCATAATATAAAATAATAAACTTTAATTCTAATTTTTTATTAACAAACATACTAATTTTTAAATCTCAATAAAAATTGTCAAATAGTTTGATAGTATA